CCCTAAACCCCCTAAACCCCCTAAACCCCCTAAACCCCTTAAACCCCCTAAACCCCCTAAACCCCCTAAACCCCCTAAACCCTAAACCCTGGCAGGATTCCCTTTAAGGGCTCCTAAAAATGACCTCTTAGTCGTATAGGAGTACTGTTTGGGGGGGTTCTACTTTTTGGATCCCTCGCAGGGGTTTGGGCAGATCTGCCAGGCTTTTCGTGGTTTTGGCGGTTTAGTGGGTTTAGGGGATCTAGGGGATTTAGGGGCTTTAGGGGATGTAGGGGATCTAGGGTATTTTGGGGGGTTGAGGGTTTTTTGGGTTTTTTTGGGGTTTTTTTGGGATTTAGGGTATTGAGGGTTTAGGGCTTAATTAGGGTTTAGGGTTTAAGTGCCGATGCCAGGTCCACATCGACCACGTGTGGCGCAGCCCTGTGCTTTGCGGAGAGGCGCCCGAAGTGTTTTTTTCCGCTTCGCCCCGGCGCACCTTTCGAGAGGGGCAGGGTTTGGGGGTTTGGGGTTTTGCGTTCCTTGAGGCATAGAGATACAGAGATCGATAGATGGATGATGATGAATATGTACATGTATAAATAAATAAATATATGTATAAAAAGATCGATATCTATATCTATATCCATATCCATATCCATATCCATATCTATATCTATGTCTATGTCTATATCTATATCTGAATTGAGGTGTGTTCCTGCCACTGGGGGGTATGAGGCTCTCTGGTGGAGGGTTTGGGGGATCACTGTCATGTCGTATCATCCCAGCTCTGGAATGCCGAAGTGTTTGTTCTAAAAGACCACGCCCAAAAGAAGGGTATCCCCCAAACCCTAACCTTATGCCCTAAATACACTAAGCCTCCGACCCCAAAGCTTGAGCCCTAAACCCTAAACCCTAAACCCTAAACCCTAAACCCTAAACCCTAAACCCTAAACCCTAAACCCTAAACCCTAAACCCTAAACCCTAAACCCTAAACCCTAAACCCTAAACCCTAAACTCTAAACCCGAAACCCCAAACCCTAAACCCAAATAGCTCCAGATCTGTTCATGGCAGCCGTGTCAAAGTAGTCTCGGAGCAGCTCCCGACCTCCTCAGCCTCCTCCCAAAGCCTCCCAAGTAGGGTTTAGGGTTTAGGCTTTAGGGCTAGGGTTAGGGTTTAGGGTTTAGGGTTTGGGGTTTGGGGTTTGGGGTTTGGGGTTTGGGGTTTGGGGTTTAGGGTTCAGGGTTTAGGGTAAAAGGTAAGCCTAGAACCCGCCCAGAGCCAACTTGTTCCAGTGTGCCCAGGCCGAGTTCGACTTAGACAACCTGTGGAGACGGGCGATTGGCCGAACGCAGGAGGTGAGCTGCGGGTTTAGGCTTTAGGGTTTAGGGTTTAGGGTGTAGGGTGTAGGGTTTAGGGTTTAGGGTTTGGTGTTTAGTGTTTTGTGGGTACTTGTCTAAAATAGGGTTCCTTCGTTCCTTCTGGGGTCCCTAGAAAATCGGGCACCCGTAAAGGAAGGACTCCACAAGGGACATTAATTTAGAGAACCACGCATAGACGGGCTGCATGCGGTTTCGATGATTTTCCTAGATGGCCCAACTATGAATAGAGGGTTACAGGGCACCTGCAGATACTTTTGGGAAGAATCGAGGGTAGCTGGGGGGCTTCTGTAGGGTTTCTGGGCTTACTTGGTTGCTCATAGGTGGCTGCCCTAAACCCTAAACCCTAAACCCTAAACCCTAAACCCTAAACCCTAAACCCTAAACCCTAAACCCTAAACCCTAAACCCTAAACCCTAAACCCTAAACCCTAAACCCTCAACCCTCAACCCTAAACCGTATGGTTGTAACCTTCTTCAGGGCACATACCGATTGATCATGCCATATCTACAAGTAAGCCTCGGAAGGCCACCGCCATCAGGGCAAAAGTGCCCCGAACTGGGTCCCCCGTAACCCGAAACCCTAAACCCGAAACCCTAAACCCTAAAAGTTAAACCCTGAACCCTAAACCCTGAACCCTAAGCCCTAAGCCCTAAGCCCTCAGCCCTAAGCCCTAAGCCCTAGGCCGTAAGCCCTAAGCCCTTAGCCCTAAGCCCTAAGCCCGAAGCCCTAAGCCCTAAGCCCTCAGCCCGCAGCCCTCAGCCCTCAGCCCTAAGCCCGAAACCCGAAGCCCGAAGCCCTGAGCCTAAACCCTTTCCAGGGATCCTGTTTGCGTGCGACTGCCCAGGTTCCGGTGTCCCTCTGGAAGAAGGGGGAGCAGACTGGGATCCTGAACATCAGCATGACCTTGCAGGACTGATGGGTTTAGGGGTTTAGGGGTTTAGGGGTTTAGGGGTTTAGGGGTTTAGGGGTTTAGGGGTTTAGGGGTTTAGGGGTTTAGGGGTTTAGGGGTCTAGGGGTCTAGGGGTTTAGGGGTTTAGGGGTTTAGGGGTTTAGGGGTCTAGGGGTTTAGGGGTTTAGCCACCCCTTACTTTGCAGTGCAAGATGTTCGCGATTGTTGAGGGGTTTCGGGTTTACCTTCCAAATGAGCGGCGTCGTGTTTTCAGGGCCTGCAATTCCTATCAACCTCACTTGCCTGTTGGTTCATGCCATGCTCCATTGGATCACCAGGGTCACTTAAGTATAGCTGTCCAACCCAGCAGTTTCAGCTGTGCTGCAGTCGGCGGGCGGTTACAGTGGCTCGCCCATGCCTGTCCGTGCCTTACTCCAGCAGCTGAGCTTGCGCAGTGGGTCTGGGCCGTTTCTGAGACTGACTCAAGAGTTGCCAGCACCCCATTTCATTGCTAACCCCAGGCCCCAAGCCCTAGACCCTAAACCCTCGTCCGATTCGACGCATCTTCCACGTTTGGCTAAGATGACCCTGGAGCCCTTCTCCCCTTCGGGTCGAGGAGGGGGCTTGACCCCAGGTGCGCGCTGTCTGCATTCTAAGGCGGTTGCAACACCTTTCCAGGCTAGGGTTTAGGGCTTCATGCTGGGGTCGCAAACGCATCTGCCCTCGCGGCTCTCATACTGCTCGTGGTTCCCCTGCCGGATCATGTTGCTGATGGATGTGGAGACTGGCTTGTGAGTAGCCGCTCTTCCTCCACCATGCCAGGCAATGGGCGCTGGCCCATGGACAGGCGCAGCCCGCCCTAACCCCAAGCCATCCTCCTAAACCCTAAACCCTCAACCCTAAACCCTAAACCCTAAACCCTAACCCTAAACCCTAAACCCTAATCCCAGGCGAAAAGACACACTCCAGGACTGCTTTCAGGTGGCTTTCTCTTCCTTTGCCTGGGTTTTGGAGTACTATACTTGAACACTTCTTGGTTCAGGGTTCCTACTATAGCTACTTGTCCCAAGAGTACATACGTTTGTTTTGGTCTACTCCAAAGTAGGGTTACAAGATCTGACTTTCAGAGAGGAGAGGACGTCCGATTTTCTGGGCGCGAAACGAGTTTCTTCAAGCAACTCCACCCCCCCCCCCCCCCCCCCCCCAGTCGGCTTGGGTTTGATGCACGTAAGAAGGACCGCAGAACTGTACATCAGTAGCAGGGTTGGATAGTGAGGCCGTGCCTCCATCTTTTTGCCCCTTACTCAAACCCTAGACCCTAAACCCTAGACCCTAAATCACCCGAAACCCTAGACCCTAAACCCTAAACCCCTACAGATCCTTTTTTTTTTCTCCTGTCGGTGTGGGAGGCCCCCGGCGATGAGCAACGGCTGGGTGCTCAGACTGGGCTCAGGGTGTCATAGAGGGGTCGGAATAGTTACTAAGACTAAGAGTCTTCCCTTATGATCCCTTTATACTTTTACTATAATAACCCCCCCAAAACCCTGTTCTAATGGCCCCTATATTGGACCCCTCAACCCCTAAACCCCAAAGCTGCTGAACGCCCCCCCCAAGCCCCTAAGGGCGTAAGGGATGTAAAAGCGGCGTCTCCGCACATGCAAACGTGAGTGAGTCGAGTCGGCGAGTGCCAGGCGCCGAACCAAATGAACAGGGTTCAGGGTTTAGGGTTTCAGGTTTCGGGTTTAGGGTTTTGGGTTTAGGGTTTAGGGTGTAGGGTTTCGGGGTTTGGGGGTTTAGGGTAAACAAAGCCGAGCTAGACGGACAGAGGTCGAAAGTGGGGTCCACGTTGAGTCAGGCCATAACAAGAAAAGGACACCACAATTGTAAGCCGCCGTTGCGAATGTCCTGAGCTTGGCTCCCGAATCTCTTGTATGTCTTCGATGAACTGTTACATGTGCAACGCTTTGCGCAAGCCTTGGCTGCTGAACGTGGCTTTGCTTGTTGTTGCCCCACAAAGCTGAATGTTGACACACACACACAAAACTTGTCTGAGATGATTGAACACGAGCACGCAAAAGAGTTCTGGTCGTTTAGGGCTTCCTCACATCAACAGCCGGCAGGAAATATTCTCCCAAGCCTCTTGCCGCGCAGGCTTAGCTGTCTTATTCTCCTTCTCACCATGAATAATTCTCAACTCTTTCGCCTTTGGTCCGACTCACGCCGGCCATTTGAACTTGGTTCCCCCGACGTTCCCCCCCCCCCCCCCCCTAGGCTTCTGGGTGTTTGGGTGCGGGGCCCCCGAGGCCACCATGGCCATGGAGTTGGACTGGACAGGCCTTTTTTTTTTTTTGCACCCCGACTGGCTTTCTATAGCAGCACGCTGATAGCCGAATGCCAGATTTCGAGGGCTTTTGTAGTCCAGCTTTTTTTTGGCATATGATCTACGCAGCAAGCCTGCATCGCGTCGAAAGCTCGCAAGCTTCCTTTGTTGTTGGCGCCTCTCTGCCTCAGATCTGTGCCGCCACCCTATCCGGAAGGGATGGGCGTACGCGCAAGCCTCAGCTGTGTGAGCCCCGAACTCCCAAAGACAGCGTCGTTGTGCCCTGAAGTGGAGAACCCCCTAATTACTTGCATAGTCCTGAGACTTGTCCATCGGGTCCATCTCTAGCAAGTTGCTCGATGCTGACATGACTGCACTGCAGCCGCCGGTTTGGGTATGCAAGGAGGGCCTCCAAGATTCAGGGAACCGCCATGAAGAAGAAGAGAGCCGAGGCTGCCAGAGCCGAGCCAGGGGACACTAGCCCTACTTCCAGCTCCAAAATCTTCCGTACCGGCGTGTGCTCGCGACCCGACCGGCCACCGGTCATTCCCCCCTCCCTTACGCTCTGCAACGGCACGGCGCCTCACGCAGAGCCGTCTGAGAGGCCGAGGCCGAAGAAGCGGAAGAGAAACGCGATGGAAGCGCTGCTTTCCCGTGCGGAAGAGGCAACTCGGAGCTTCTCCCAGGTGCCAGAGGGCCCGACATGGCCGAAGGTAGCTGCCATCGGTCAGGAGCAATTCGCCCGCGTGCTGGAGCTTGCCAAGGCAACCCTTGATGTGAACAAGGCACAGCAGCTTGCTAGTGCAGCTGCTGCGGCGCTGAGGCTGTCTTGGGCCATTGGCCTCGCAGAGCCTACGAAAGGCGCGGAGGTCGAGTGGCGGCGCTTCTTGGAGGACAAGCTGCAAGAAGCGCTCCAGTTGCTGGCAGGAGCAGAGGCGGAGTGGGCCTACGCCTTGAACGCCTTCCGGGTGCCCAAAACGGGCTCCCTCGAAGCGCTTCTTCGGCACCTGGACTCCTTCGACCAGCTTCTGCTTCGACTTTGGGCGCGCTCAGGTGGTTCAGCTGCTCTACACCCTGCCGAGCTTTCGGAAGCATCCTGCGCCTACCACCTGCAACGCAAGGACCTCAAAGCCGCCATGCAATCCCTGGCCTCGGGCACCCCGCGCGCCCTGAAGCTCTCGCTGCTGTGGGGCTTCCGCAAGGCCTGGCTGCGAAGGGGCGCCGGCCGCACGTGGAAGCCCGCTCCGTGGCCTCTGCGCTACCTGCGAGCACGTTGGCTGGAGGCCAGCTGCCTGGTACATGGGCACGGGCATGCCCTGTCTCAGAAGCAGAAGCTTCAGAAGGCGGCTTTGAGCTGGCAGCTGGCAGGCAGAGATGCCTCTGCCAGATGTCACGGCTTTGCAGTGCCGACGTTTGGAGCCCTGAAGCTTCTGAGCAAGTGCTCCGCCGGAGGGCTCGTGGAGCTGGGCGCCGGTGTGGGATATTGGGCTGCTCTCCTCCGGCGCAGGGGCGTCGATGTGGTGGCGCTGGACATCGACCCGCCCTCCGGGGCGCATGGAAGCGCAGGCGAGTCCAAGGTGACCTTTGGGGACGCCTCTTCTCTGAGGGAGCTTTCCTGCGAGGCGCTGCTGCTCTGCATGCCACCTCCGGGGGAAGCTGACTGTGCGGATCAGGCCTTGAAGAACTTCCGTGGGAAGTACGTGGCTTACGTGGGTGAGTGGTGCACCGGCATGACGGCCACACGGTCCTTCCACGAGAGCTTGCAGTCCCGCTATGTGCTGAAGCACCGGATCCCGCTGCCCTGCTACCCCAGCATGCGCGCAGAGTGTTACTTGGTATTTTGTTGAACATCATGTTACATTTTTATGACTACATAAGCCAAATAAGGAACAAGCAGAATTATTGTTAATAGTACCTTTAACAGTGGTGCAGGTTACTTCTTTCGGAAGCGAAGCTGCAGGGAGGGGAGGGAGAAACCCGCATCCCCTGAGCCCACAGAGCTCTGGGCCTGTGATGCATGCCAGGGGAGGGCTCCTCTGTACCTGTGCCCGGCAACCCGCTACTGGCGACTCTGCTCGGAAAGCTGCTACGAGGCACTGAAGGACGACCAGGCCGCCCTGCTCAGAATCTAGGCAGGCCCTTGGGATAATGTATATAAGTTCCCTTATTGTGGGCTTTAAGAGGATCCTTTATTCAGGAATATTTTTTCGGAGGGTTTTTGTGGGGGGCCATCCGAGGAATCGTGTTCTGCGGCCTGGAAGTGGAGGTGCCGGCCTGGAGCGCCTGGGCGAGCCTGAGTTGGCTGGGCGAGGACTCGGCGAGAGGCCAGCAGTGGGATGCACTGAAGCGGGCGACGCCGCAACCAGAGACTATATCCCCCCTTGGGAATTGTTTTTGTATTTTTGTTTATATAAAACCCAGGAGGATATTAAACATATTGTTTTTATGAAGGTTCGAAGGGGAGTACAGGAGATAGCCGGCTGGCTGAGCAGCACGGCCAACCTCAGCTGAATCAAGTTCCAAAAACTATGGTTTTTTCTGGGCAACATCGGCACCCGAAGCAGCTCGTGACGCCTCCAGGCTACTGCCTTCCAAGCCTCCAGCCCGCGAGCCCTCCGCGACATCTGGCTGTCCAGGACTTTGCGCGCGGTTGCCGTCCCTCTTTGCGCAGCTTTCCCAAGGGCCCCCCGAGGTAGGAGAGGACGGTGCGGCTGCAAGCAGAAGACGCCGCAAGGGCCTCACCAGTTCCCCCCCCCCCCCCCCCCGCCCACAAAGAGAAGGAGGTTCAGGGTTCAGCCCTTAGAGCCCTAACTAACAGCCCTAAGAGCCCGAAGAGCCCTAAGGCTGAGGACTGAAGGATTACAGGCTTTATAGGTTGACCTTAGTGTTAGGGTTCGCAATACGAGGTTGCCCAGCACCTGCAGAACCCCGAAGGATCCGAAGAATTCCCAATGCTTAACTGGCCTGCAGTTGAGGATCTTACGGTAAGTTACTATTCTCGTGACCCAAGCCTTGGATTGCAACTGGGAGCGCGGGGGACCCTCCAATCTCGAAACCTCTTAACCCTAAACTAGGAACCCTCCAATCTCGAAACCTCTTAACCCTAAACCATGAACCCTGATCACCCTATACCTTAAAACCCTTTACGCTTTCAATATCTGTTATCCATCCATATCTAGGGTTTAGGCGTTAGGGTTAAAGGGTTATGGTGGTAGCTTACTTGAAGTTCCTTAAGGACAATGCCGGCCTTGTGTTGACTCACGTTCAGGCCCTTCCCTCGCTCCCTCTCTTGGCGGCACCCAGGCGGGTGCGTGTTTGTGTGTGTGTGTGTGATGTGCTTCAGGGATGGGAAAAATGCATTCTCCGGGCTTGGGGTGGTTTGGGGTGCTGGCTTTTCTTTTTGTTGCCTGGCACTTGCATTGGGTATGGAATGCCCCCCTCACAAAGTAACGTGCCCTGATGGACGTGAGAATGCCGCAGGTTCCTGGAATTGTGATGGTTTTGTGCCGCTTTGTTTAGTGACCAGTGCTTTGCTTCGGCGATTTGCTGGTACCTGCTGCGCGCAGTGTGAGACGGAATGTGGTGACGATGATGGCCTCTGCCTTGATGTTGGTGATGATGCCATGAACGCCTGCTTTCGATTGCCAACTAACTAACACCGTCTGGTCATCTTTGTTCTTCTTGCTGCTGCCACATTCAGACACACACGCTGCCATTTTTTGTGCATGTACACTTGGTGGTTCAAAGGGTACATATAAGTGGGGTCATAAGTAGGGCAACATGGGGCAACTATGGTTGTAACCATATTTGGGGTACTTCTAACACCCTAAACCCTAAACCCTAAACCCTAAACCCTAAACCCTAAACCCTAAACCCTAAACCCTAAACCCTAAACCCCTGGAACGTGACAGGGGCTCGGGGCTTCAAAGGATTTGGGGGGGCCTTCGGGTACGCTCTGAACAGGCCATGCCAATCATGGAGCCGGGCCAGGCGCGGCTTCCTGTAGGGTTTTAGGGTTTTAGGGTTTTAGGGTTTTAGGGTTTTAGGGTTTTAGGGTTTTCCGGGTTTTAGGGGTTTTAGTGTTTAGGGTTTAGGGTTTAGGGTTTCTGCTTTCCACCTGGGCCTATCATGTAGAATGTGAAGCTGGGACCCCCATGTCTGTCCCAGATCTTCCAAAACCCTTTAAATAAGGAATATACCCTAAATCATCGTAAGGTTCCTTAGTATAAGTCAGGGTAGAATCCTTATTTAAGGGGCTTAGTATAGATTAGGGTAGCATCCTTATTTCGGGCCTTAGTATAGATTAGGTTAGAATCCTTATTGAAGGGGCTTTGGAAGATTTGGGACCCCTGAAGCTGATCCCGAGGTTCACGAGCCTCTTCCATTTCAAGCGCGGCTCCACGAGCCTTTCAGCTGAAACGTGGGTTAGGGTTTAGGGTTTAGGGTTTAGGGTTTAGGGTTTAGGGTTTAGGGTTTAGGGTTTCAGGGCTGTGGCTTGAGGATGTCAGCAAGTTTCTATCTGCCCAGGCAGCCGCCAACTCGTGATCTTTACGAGTGACCTGACTGGATTTGTGCCATGCTGATGTGTCCGGTTTTCCGCTTGTGTCTGGCTTTTTACAGTGTCGTCGCGTGGTATCACCTGGGCCAACCTGGCAAGTCCCCTTGTAATCGCAGAGTAGTATGTCAGTCAGGGTTTCTGGACTTCGAGGCCTTCTTGATGCGATCTGGTCGAATCTCTGTGACCCCAGGGTGTCTTTTTCTGTGTCTTCTTTTGATTCTCCCAATTAGACTCACTCTCACCAGTGCTGAGTGTCTTGATTGATGGTGCCAGGCAGCCGGGACACGGAATCCTGTCATCAGGAGCCCAGGCACAAGCTCAAGCAGCACAGGCTGGTCAAGCATCGGCATCAGCCCACTTCGCCACAGCCGCACAGGTGGCGCAGGCCGCCCAAGCGGCGCAGGCCGCCCAGGCCGCCCAGGCCGCCCAGGCCGCCCAGGCCGCCCAGGCCGCCCAGGCCGCCCAGGCCGCCCAGGCCGCCCAGGCCGCCCAGGCCCACGCCCAGATGCAGGCAGCACCTGCACCAACAGCGCCAGCGCAGGCAGCCCAAGCAACTCAAGCATCCCAACTCCAGCAGCCGCAGTACCCCCAGGCCGAGTTGCTTCGGGCGTGGTGTTCAGCCAACGTAAATGCAGTTGCACCTGCTTTTGCAAGCGAGTGGGCAATCCAGGCCTTATTAAGCCCTGTTCAGCCCCTAACCCAGTAGTTGAACCCTAAAGCCTAAAGCCTAAAGCCTAAAGCCGAAAGCCTAAAGCCTAAAGCCTAAAGCCTAAACCCCAAACCCCAAACCCCAAACCCTAAACCCTAAACCCTAAACCCTATGTGCCAATAGACCCGCAAAGCCCATAAAGCCTGATCAAGCTCCAGGGAGCGTCGCCTTCTCGCAGCTTCCATCCTCCGAGCCTCGGCTTTCAGTTTAGGGCTGCCGCATCAAAGAAGGCAGGAAAAAAAACAACCGAGGGTTTAGGGTTTAGGGTTTAGGGTTTAGGGTTTAGGGTTTAGGGCTTTACAGGGTTTAGGGCTTTGCAGGGTTTAGGGGTTGAGAGGTTGAAGGGTTTTAGGGGTTTAGGGTTTAGGGCTTTCGGGCTTAGGGTTTAGGTTTCGGGTTTAGGGTTGAGGGTTTTGGGGTTTAGGGGTGCAGGGTTCAGGGTGGGCGTTTAGGGTTTTAGGGGTGTAGGGTTTGGGGGTTTTCGGGTTTCGGGATTTTAGGGTAACGGTTTAGGGTTTAGGGGTTTCGGGTTTTGGGATTTTAGGGTCTAGGTTTAGGGATATTTAGGGTTTAGGGTTTAGGGGTTTAGGGGTTTAGGGTTGGTCTTAGGGTGTCGGGGTTTCGGGTTTAGGGTTGAGGGATTTTGGGGTTTAGGGGTGTAGGGTTCAGGGGTTTCGGGTTTGGGGGGTTTTAGGGTTTAGGGGATTTAGGGTTTAGGGATATTTAGGGTTTTGGGGTTTTCCGGGGTTTTAGGGTTTAGGGGTATCTTTCGGGTTTAGGGTTGAGGGATTTTCGGCTTTAGGGGTTTTAGGGTTTAGGGTTTTGGGGTTTCGGGTTTAAGGATTTTAGGGTTTAGGGGTTTTAGGGTTTAGGGCTTAGGGATTTTAGGGTTTAGGGGTTTAGGGTTTAGTGTAGGGGTTTCGGGTTTAGGGTTGAGGGATTTTGTGGTTAGGGGTGTAGGGTTTAGAGTTAGGGTTTAGCGGGGTTTAGGGTTTCGGGGTTTCGGGTTTCGGGGTTTTAGGGTTTAGGAGTGTTTGGGTTCAGGTGTTTAGGGTTTAGGGGTTTTAGGGTTAGGGTTTTGGGGCTTCGGGTTTAGGGATTTTAGGTTTTAGGCATGTTTTAGGATTTAGGGTTTAGAGGCTTCTCGCTAGACAGGTTGGGATGTTCCATTTTTCCCGCCCCCTGCTTATGCAGGCATCCACCCAACTTTTCTCCTTTTTGGGTGTCGGGCTAACGCCCTAAATTCCCACTTCCCACCCCCGTCCTTCAAATAGAGGGTTGAGTGAGTTTGGTAGGAGATTTTTCCTATTTAGCTTCTAGGATTCGAGGTCTCCTGGTCAGAGGCTTCGGCAGGGGTTTTTGAGCAAGCGACGGCGGACAATGCCTACATCCCAACCTAGGGTTTAGGGTTTAAGGGTTAAGGGTTTAGGGTTTAGGGTTTAGGGTTTAGGGCATTTGAAAGACAGGGCCACCCGCGAACACCACGCTCAAGGCATGAGATTTGACGATGAGTATCGTAGTTTCTAGCAGTTCATGGAAGTCGTCCTCTTAGGGGTTTTTAGGGTTTAAGGGTTTTAGGGTTTAGGGGTTTTAGGGATTTTCGGGTTTAGGGTTTTAGGGTTTAGGGATTTTAGAAAGCGAAGCTCTCCATGGCCAGTTGTCTCTCAAAGCAGCCATCGCCAGGCTCAGCATAGTCCTCACCCCTAAGCCCCTAAGCCCTATGCAAGTCCTAAACTTAGTATATAGTAGGGTAGGTAACCTTTAACCTTTTTGGGGTAGAAAAAACCCATTCTCATCCCAAAGGTTGACCTTTAGCTCGCCTCGGATACTGGGCAACGAAGTAAACTTGGGGCTGTTGAGGACCACTCCTGCAGCGGAGTCCTTCCAGCCACAACGGCTGCTGGCCGAAGCCCCAGCTTGAGTAGTTGTGACCCCAACGGGTTTAGGGTTTAGGGTTTAGGGTTTAGGGTTTAGGGTTTAGGGTTTAGGGTTTAGGGTTTAGGGTTTAGGGAAAGGACTTCAGAAGAGTTATACAAGCCTCACGCAGTCCAAGATTCTTGTCCTCCGTCGCACTGCCTTGCGCTGCCCAGGCTCCGCCCACGAGTGCTGCGGAGGCCACCATACGAAGTCCTAAGCCCTAAGCCCTAAACCCTAAACCCTAAACCCTAAGCCCTAAGCCCTAAACCCTAAACCCTGAATCCTAAACCCTAAACCTCAAACCGGCAAGAACCCTTTGTCCGCATCCTAAATATCGGGGTATCTGCGGAAGTGGAGGTGCTCCAAATATATCCCCGCCGACCCTATAACCCTCAGCCCTAAGCCCTAAGCCCTAAACCCTAAACCCTAAACCCTAAGCCCTAAACCCTAAACCCTAAACCCAAAAAAACCCTACATTGGAAACCCCCACGTATCCCTCGAGAGGTGAAAGGCGTCTCGTGTGGCTGGTGTCGAGGAGATCGGTCTCCACAGGTGCGCCTTGGGGGGGGCTTGGGGCTTAGCAAATTTAGGGCTTAGGGTTTAGGGTTGTTTAGGGTTTAGTAGGGTTTAGTAGGGTTTAGAGTTTAGGGTTTAGGGTTTAGGGTCAAGGGCTCAAGGGCTCAAGGGCTCAAGGGCTCAAGGGCTCAAGGGCTCAAGGGCTCAAGGGCTCAAGGGCTCAAGGGCTCAAGGGCTCAAGGGCTCAAGGGCTCAAGGGCTCAAGGGCTCAAGGGCTCAAGGGCTCAAGGGCTCAAGGGCTCAAGGGCTCAAGGGCCTCAATCAAGGGCTCAAGGCCAAGGGCTCAAGGCTCAGGCTCAAGGCTCAAGGGCTCAAGGCTGGCTCAAGGGTCAAGGGCTCAAGGGCTCAAGGGCTCAAGGGCTCAAGGGCTCAAGGGCTCAAGGGCTCAAGGGCTCAAGGGCTCAAGGGCTCAAGGGCTCAAGGGCTCAAGGGCTCAAGGGCTCAAGGGCTCAAGGGCTCAAGGGCTCAAGGGCTCAAGGGCTCAAGGGCTTAGGGCTGAGGGCTTAGGGCTTAGGGCTGAGGGCTGAGGGTTTAGGGCTTAGGGCTTCGTCCTTACGTCTTGGCTTCGGGCTTCGTCCTTGCAGCTTGCAGGGCTTAGGGCTCAAGGGCTTAGGGGCCTCGACTCTGGCTTTGAAGCCGAAGCCGAAGCACGCCCTCAGAAGTAGGTTTAGGGTTTAAGGTTTAGTTTCGGGTTTCGGGTTTCGGGTTTAGGGTTTAGGGTTTAGGGCGCAGCGCATGGTTCTTTTACCCAAATAGGAGGGGGGGGGGTTTCCCTGAAAAACTGTCAGGATACTCTAATCGTGATGAACCCCCTAAAGTAGGCACCCTGGAACCCTCCACATGATCTACTTGCTTAAGAACTCCCCCCCAAAAACGTAAAAACACAAATCCCTAAACTGCCCTGATAAGGACGAATATTTGTGTTTTTTTGGGGGTTCTTAGGCAAATTTGTCGTGGTCTGGGCCAGGGGCTGCAGCCCCCGACGCTTCCGGTGCCGAGAAGCCCCAGTGGGGAAGGCACCCGGTCGGTGAGTCAGAGTTAGGCTCCTGGGAGGATTCACTTGAGGTGTAGGGTTCAGGGTTTAGGGTTTTTAGGGTTTAGGGTAGGTTGTTGAGGGTTTAGGGTGTTTCGGTTTTAGGGTGTTTAGGGTTTAAGGTGTTTAGGGTTTAGGGTGTTTAGGGTTCAGGGTGTTTCGGGTTTAGGGTGTTGAGGGTTCAGGGTGTTTCGGGTTTAGGGTGTTTAGTGTTTAGGGTTTTGGGTTTAGGGTTTAGAGTTTAGGGTTTAGGGTTTAGGGTGTTTCGGGTTTAGGGTGTTTAGGGTTTAGGGTGTTTAGGGTTCAGGGTGTTTCGGGTTTAGGGTGTTTAGGGTGTTTCGGGTTTAGGGTGTTTCGGGTTTAGGGTGTGTCGGGTTTGGGGTGTTTGGGGTCCAGGCCTGAGGGTTGTCAGCTATCTTGGAATGGATCTTGAGGCTTTGAGCCGCGCGCATCGAGGGCTTGTGGGGCCCTAAACCCTAAACCCTAAACCCTAAACCCTAAACCCTAAACCCTAAACCCTAAACCCTAAACCCTAAACCCTAAACCCTAAACCCTAAACCCCAAACCCTAAACCCTGAGCCCGAAATCCCCTGCAGTTTATCCATGGCCTGGAGGAAGTGACGCCGATGCCCCGCAGCGGGGCCAGCGCTGCCCTTGGCTTGCGTTGCATTAGGCTTACTTTCTCTTTGGGCACCTTTTGATAGGGATTGGGTGGGGGGGGGTGACCCGAAGTAGGACCAATCCCTCCCCCCTTGTGGTGAATTTGCGGCTGCCTCGGTGGAGTCTGTTGCTGCCATGTTTGTGTTGATGCTCGAATGCCTGGCCATGACGATGCAGATAGCATGCTGCCTGTCATCATGTCTTCCATGTTCTCGCTGCCCTTTGCTGGCCACCGCAGGTGCATCTTAGCACCAAAAACGAACAGCAGCCGCTGTCTGCAAGACCTGACACACCGGCTTCCACAAGTGCATCCATTCTCTTCTGGTGCCACTCAACGAGATATCCGAGATGCCATGCAATGATTTAGGGATGTTAGGCTAATGTTAGGGTTTCGGGTTCTTGCAAAGCCAGCCTAAAGACACAAACCTTAAGCCCTAAACCCTAAAACTTAAACCCTAAACCCTAAACCCGAAACCCTAAACCCTAAACCCTCCCCAGTGGCCGCCATGGCAGCCACGGCTTGGGTCGTGGTCTCGGGCGGGGGCTCCGGGATCGGTCGAGGCAGGACCTTAGACCCTAAACCCTAAACCCTAAACCCTAAACCCTAAACCCTAAACCCTAAACCCTAAACCCCAAACCCTAAACCCTAAACCCTAAACCCTAAACCCTAAACCCTAAACGCTAAACCAACCCTAAACCTTGAACCCTAAACCCTAAACCCTGAATCCGAAACCCTAAGCTCTAAGCCCTTCATGGATTCATCCCAGACGGGCGAGGCCTGGTGAGCCACTTTAGCAGCCGCGGACCAGTGCTCTGCTGCGGGAGACGAGAGGCCAGATACCAGAAGTCTCGGTTTTGGGTTTAGGAGTTTGGAGTTTAGGGTTTAGGGTTTAGGGTTTAGGGTTAAGGGCTAGCCTTGCAACACCTGCTTTCGCGCAGGAAGCCCTACAAGAAACGAGGAGGATGGCGAGGAATCCCGAGGCTGCCGGCCGACTTTAAGCTCCGAGTGGGCGCTGCTGCTTAAACCCTAACATTGATCTTTGTGGTACTTTACTGTAACTTTAGATCCTTACCTTTTTTGGGTTTATTGGGTTTCTTCTTAAGGCAGCTAAACGTTTAATTTATAGCTACCCTCCTGAGTGCAGCCAAGTGATACGCCTCCCCATCATGCTCACAGTCACTCATAGCGATTATCGTAGGGGTGCTGTACTCCCTATTAAGGCTATTAAGGTTATAGTAGGGGTACTATAATCCCTATTAAGGCTATTGAGGTCATAGTAGGGGTTCGAGTTCGTGTCGCAGGCCGTCTCTTTCGTTGCCTGCGACATTGGCACAGAGGATGGTCGCGAAAGGCCAGGTGCTTATACTGATGCTATGATGCAGTCTCACCCCTGACTCTGAGCATGGGCCATTAAGGCCCTACAAGCCCCAGAATCAACCCTATAAAGGGCCTTTTTGAGGGGTTTTCGGGTAGAATATCAACCCTATAAAGGGCCTTAGAATAAGGGGTTATAGGCTATAATCGCCCATGCTGGTCTCAACCCTCATGGCCAAATATGATCGGCTGACAGCGTGCCTTGAGGCTCCTCAATGCGCTGCCATCTGAGGCGTCGGTGTCGCTCTTGGTCACTTGGCTTGGACCAATCTGTAGCCTTTTCAGGCCCAGTGGGCCAAGACGCGAGCTTCTCTCACAAAGGCAACGGTGTCTGTCACCCCTAAACCCTAAACCCTAAATTACTAAACCCTAAACCCTAAACCCTAAACCCTAAACCCTAAACCCTAAACCCTAAACCCTAAACCCTAAACCCTAAACCTTAAACCCTAAACCCTTGACCAGCTTGTCTGAGCAAGACTCGCGAGGTGCAGAATGCTGCCATTGGGGACCCAGGGCCGCTGGCCGAGTTGGAAATCCATCACTTCGAGGAAGCGGAGAAAGACCTAAGCCTATATATATATATACTCATATAAAAATATATACTTATATATATATATATAGATATACTTATTTATACTTATATATACACTTATATATGTTAATAATGTACTTTATTTTTCCTACTCAGTTGACATAAAAATATACGCATGAATAGTGACGCCCCTTGCGGGTTTGGCTTGCCTCCTTTTTTGCTGTAGGTAGGGTATGGGACCTTGCACACTCAGACACTGGCGACTCTGGCCACAAGAGGCCCCAAAACAATCTGGGCAAGCAGCCTTTGACAAGAAAGCTTCTTGACGCTTCGTGTGCGCGCCGGGGCATGTGGGCATGTGGTGTCCAGAACGATCAACGTCATCTCGCAACGCTGGCGCGGCCAGCAATGCCCAGCAGTTTGCCACATGACGATGCATATCATACTACTCGGACTCTATAACCCCCATGGCCATGTGGCTACGGCTGTTCTCCGGATTGCAAAGGGGTCCTCCAGCATGGTGATCTGATGGAAGGAAGCCATGCGCGTTAACGTTGTCGCGCCGCTTGCGCTGACGCAGGCCAGTGGAGTGCCTTGTGATGTCGCGCGGTCCAGCATTGCAGCTTCTACAGGCGCTGCTCCCTCGCCTGCACGGTGGCCGTATCCTTCACCTTGGTACCTCTGTCGCGCCCATTCGTTTGCAAGTTAGCTTTGATGCCGGTATGCATAGCATCCGTCATGCCTAGTTTGTGAGCGCCATCCTATCCGAGACATCGGCCGCAGCGTGGCACAGCGACGTGCCCCAACTTGTCAAAAATGACTCTTGCGAAACAGCTTCTCACTATCTTGGCCTGCTTTCGCGCTCGTCCAGACTTCTACTATGTTGTAGCACAGCTTGTTCAAGCATCGCACGGGGACCGTTGCTTCCTCTACAGGTATGGGATCACGAAAGCAGCCTTCTACCGATTGTTCCAGCAACTGCTCCTGCACTGCAAGCAGCTGGAAGCTTCCGTAGGGACTTAAAACCATTTTTTTTGGGTTTTGAGTAGCCAGTGCTAGCAAAAAATTGCAAGCAGGAAGCCAGCCGGTCTTGGCATCTTCTTCCTTTGCGGTTTAGGGTTTAGGGTTTGAGGTTTAGGGAGGCGCAGGGTTCAGGGTTACTGTAAGGGTCGGAAGAAGTACTGATCATTTTCCCTCATGGTCCCTAGATGATGATACTGCAATAACCCCCAAAGCCCTATTCTAACTATTAAGGCCCCTGTATTATTTTGTTCAGACGCCGCACTTTTCGAATTTGTGCAAGCCGGGCAGGAACGCTGAGGGCCTGAACGTTGCTGTCGGTTCGCTGAGCCCAGGCAGGACCTGTCACGTTCGATTCGGGGGACAGTGCCCTAAACCCTAAACCTTAAACCCTAAACCCTAAACCCTAAACCCTAAACCCCTAAACCCTAAACCCCCAACCCCTAAACCCTAAACCCTAAACCCTAGACCCTAAACCCTAGACCCTAAACCCTAAACCCTAAACCCTAAACCCTAAACCCGAAACCGCAGATGCGAGCAGTGATAGAGACCGGTGAGATCGTGTCTATGTTGCACCACAGGAGCCAGGCGGCTCGATTGAAGCTGCCAGACAATACGACACCTGCGCCGAATTCCATTCGCGCTACAAGGTCTGGTTGACACCGAAGGCGTCCGAGATCACGTCGCCAAGGCGAAGCTGCCTCAAAAAGGATTGCCAGGGATTGAAGATTTCATTATTTCTATGTATCGTGCTTTTGTTACCCTTGTTATTGGAATTTGTATCAGATTCCTTTGATTGTTTGTGTTAGTCTTATTATTAGGGGCACATTCAGGGACTGTTCTGTCATTCACGATCGACTCGGGAGGCTCGACGCCTTGACTTGCCTCACGTTGCCTTCTTCGATCAGGCGTTTGAGCAGGCGCCAGTTCTTCAGACCCCGGTGGAGTGTGGGGGGCAAGAAGGGACCCACTAAAAAAAATCCCCAAACAGTAGGATTCTCTTAGTAGCAAGGACCCCAACAAGGTACCCCCCTAGGGTTTCAGGGGCAGCTCCCAGTTACGACACGACTTTTTTCAGACGCAGGGCTGGGCGACGGAGATGGATCAGCTGATGTGCTTCGTGGATGAGGTCCTGAGCATGCCCAGGGAGCAGTTCACCTCGCAGGAGGGCTCGGGCCAGAGCGCTACAGCCCCCGAATATTACATCCCCCCCCTAGCCCCTAGTATGAAACACACTCCCCCCCCATTATGCTCATATATATATATATATATATGTATACATATATGTATAATATATAGATCTATATAGGGGGGGGGGAATCTAATACTAGGTTTAATATTAGGGGGAGGGGATGAGAGCCCTGCTGTGTTGAGGGTAGTTGGGCCTCACTGGAAAGAGCATTCGGCAGCGGAAGGAGTGGCGATTTTCGGAGTGGCGGAAGAAGGCCTCCGTGCAAAACCATACTTGCTCCATGGTCCATCTGCAACACACGCGGAACTTGATGATGAGCAGAGCTCGGTGTCTCACAGGTCACTGAGTGCGTCGCAGTTGGCACATGACATGTGATACACCCTCACCCCTGACATATTCAAAGGTGGAGCAGCATGATGCGCCTCAGAGTGAGAGCTCCTTGTGAGAGCGGCGACGGCTGCGAATGGCTTCAGGAGCAGAGGTGTCCTTTCGCTTTCACCAAGCCAAAAAGCCACATCTTGTTGTGGAGCGCCACAAGACACCCGCGCGATGTGGCGGCTGCGTACAGGCACGTCACTTTCAACGCACGCCGGCGTGAACCAAAGTCGTGAATGCCGGCCGCAAAAGTCGTGTCCAGAAACGGCAGACCGCACCGCTCGCAAGCGCGTGTGTTGTAGCCGTTCTTTGCCCAAGGTCTGGACAGTGGTGGAACTCCTTCATCGACCGCGGTTGAGCAGACCCAGTGTGCGCAGCTTGTGAACGCTTCTCTTTTGGGCGAAGATCCCAACAGGGTTCACAGAGTTCTCTGCACCAAGAGAAGGGCAGCAGCTCTTGGCTTTCAAGAGCATGTCTTAGGCACAAGATTCGCTCCCCAGCTTTTGTCTGTTTTTGCCCTGAGCTGTGCTAGTCCGACGAAGTTTTAGGGTAGGACGCTGCACCCAGAGTTTTGGGCTTGCAGGTTTGGGTACTTAAGCGCTGCCATTCGGGAGAGGAAAGGAAAGCGGCGCCCGGTGAGTCTCTTGTACGAGTATGCATCACGAATAGCCAGCACTTTGTCCTGCATCAGCCCAGTTCTCTGCGTTGTGCGGCACGCTTCTGGAAGCCTCGAGCGAAGGGAAACAGTAGCTTGCTCAAGGCTCCATTGCTTTGCTTAGACAGAAGTGGATCAGCCCAGTGTGCCGCCCCATGACCCCGTAAGGAAGATGCCTTGAAGCATATGAAGCAAGGTTTATATTTCTGTTATTGGTGAGTGTATATAAGGTTTCCTTTTAATCTTGGTGAGTGTATATACCTGGTGTCCTTTTGGGGGTGCAAGAAATATATACCCTGCTTCATATCAAGGGCTCATCCTACACCCAAGGCATATTGCTTAAGGGAGGGGGTTCCCTGGGAAGCTAGTCGAAGACGGGTCCCGAAGACAGGGCCAAGCCCGTCTTCATCGTTTCGGGGAGGGATTGATCTCGGCAGGCGCGGCGTGGCAGGGGGTTTTGTGTCCAGGCTCATGGGTTGTAGGGTTTACGAGTCGCTTTATGTATATATATATATATATATATATCCGAGCCACCGTTGCAGTACGTAACACGCACCTCAGCTACGGGGGGGTCTTCAATCCCTCCCTCACTCCGGTGGTCCACAAATGCTCAGAAGACTTCGACTGATTTTCGCGCAGCGCTGCCCAGAAAGAGGAGATGCGCCTCTGCAACTCGGTGGGTTTGGGTTTAGGGTTTAGGGTTTAGGGTTTAGGGTTTAGGGTTTAGGGTTTAGGGTTTGGGGTTTAGGGTTTAGGGTTTAGGGTTTAGGGTTTAGGGTTTAGGGTTTAGGGTTTAGGGCTCTGTGGAGCCTACGAACCTACGCGGAATTTCAGGGTGTTGGGTTCTGGGTGCATCTTTTTCGTGTGTGGTTTGGGGTTTTGGTGGCTTGGGGTCTAGGGTTTAGGGGTTTAGGGGCTTAGGTTTCAGGGGGTTTGGGGGCAGATAGACTCGTATCAGTTGTGTGCCCAAGACCAGTTGGCTTGGGCGGACGGGGTCAGCATTTACTACATTGGACCTATCCGAGGGGTTAGGGTTTAGGGTTTAGGGTTTTAGGTTTTGGTTTAGGGTTTAGAGTTTAGGGTTTAGGGTTTAGGGTTTAGGGTTTAGGGTTTAGGGTTTAGGGTTTAGGGTTTAGGGTTTAGGGTGAGTTAGAACGGGTTGGTTTAACCCTAAACCCTCCACCCTGTAGAGCACGTGGCTCAAGCCGATCCTTTGCACTGACTGGGCAGGAGCCGGCGCAGGACAGGGACCTCCTTACTCCCATCACTCTAGTCGCACCTGAACCTTTAGGGGTTAGGGTTTAGGGTTTAGGGTTTAGGGTTTAGGGTTTGAGGTTTGAGGTTTCAATGTCGGGTTTGTGGAACTTTGAACGCGTTTGGGGAGGGCCCCCCTTGTGCCACTCCTGCTGTGTGGTACCTGGCAGGCCCGATCCTTTGACAAGCTCCCAGATAGGGGTTTACGATGTAAGGGGTCCTTATTACAAGGGAATCCTACTATTTTAGGGAGGGGTAAAATATAGGGGCCGCATATTTTTTCGTAAACTCCCAGATAGCGTCCCTGCTTGGTTTCTGAAGCTCCGTCACGACAGAGCTGTACTTTACCAAGCGCCAGCACCGAAGGCGCCATAAGTCCTGATCCTTCAGCCGCCCTGCCAGGAGCATGGCCAGCTTTGAAGAAGTAGAGGTCTTGAGCTCTGACAATGGGGAGTCGAAGAACTCCCCACCTTGCCGTGTTCCCCGAGCGCCGCGCCGGCAGTTGGTTTGAAGGGGTTTTTGGGACGAGCAACGAGGGAAGCTCTTTCCAAATCCCCTTGGCTCTGGTTCCTGAACCGCTTAACCCTGAACCCTGAACCCTGAACCCTGGAACCCTGGAACCCTGGAACCCTGGAACCCTGAAACCCTAAACCCTAAACCCTAATCCCTAAAACCCTAAACCCTAAACCCTAACCCCTTGCATGCTTAAGCCCTGCATCAGGGAAAGGTAGGTACTACGGGTAGCACAAGGTGCACACCGGGGGCTTCCCCCTTAAAGGGGAGTTGTGTGGAGGTACGCATAAAGGGAGGCGTGCTCAGCCTTCCTAAACCCTACGCTCTACACCCTAAGAAACCCTAAATCCCAAACCCTGAACCCTAAACCCTAAACCCTAAACCCTAAACCCCAAACCCTAAACCCTGAACCCTGCGCCCGAAAGGCCGTGAAGGTCGCTTTGTTCCTTACGGTCGGCCTGGCTTCTGCGGCTTTCCTCCTGAGAAGCGCCAAGCCCTGCAAGCGCGTTCATCTCGGAGCCATCGGAGCTTTGCAGGCCGAAGCAGAGATCAATAGCCTTTGCACCTTCCCAGAAAAACAACGAACCCTAAACCCTAAACCCCTAATCCTAAACCCTAAACCCTAAACCCTAAGCCCTAAACCCTAAACCCCAAACCCTAAACCCTAAACCCTAATTAAGCCCTAAACCCTAAACCCTAAACCCTAAACCCTAAACCCTAGACCCTAGACCCTAGACCCTAGACCCTAAACCCCCGCCCCGCTTGGACTCTCCATGTGAGTACACAAAAACCACAACGCCAGATCTAATTCGGTAGGTTACTCGATAGGTTGTCGGGCTCGGTCCTTCTTCTCCATGACATTCCGTGGTACGTGTCTTACTGTTGGTTAGCAGGGAATGAGGGAATTGGGGCCGAACCAGGGTATATCTTACTGTTTTTGGTGAGTGTATAGAAGGTTCCTTTTTAATATTGGTGAGTGTATATGTTTGGTGTCCTTTTGGGGATACAAGAAATACATACCCTTACCTCATATAGGGTCCTTATAATCCCTTAAAGGGTATATATAGGGCCGCAATGCTAAGGGATTCGGTCATGTCTGTCAGGGCAAATCCGCGGTCGACGTGGAAGCGAACATCGCGCTGAAGGCCTCCACTTTGAAGGGCATCAAGAACAGGCCGGCGATGTGGGCTTTTAGGGTTTAGGGTTAAGGGCTTAAGGGTTTAAGGGTTTAAGGGTGTAGGGTGTAGGGTTTAGGGTTTAGGGTTAGGGTTTAGGGTTTAGGGTTTAGGGTTTAGGGTTTAGGGTTTAGGGTTTAGGGTTTAGGGCTTAGGGTTTAGGGTTTAGGGCTTAGGGTTTAGGGTTTAGGGTTTAGGGCTTAGGGTTGCCTTGACTTGGCTGAAAGTGACCAAGTCTCACATGCAACTCCTTCCTTGCGAGACAAGCCTGGCCTCCTTCGCTTCCTCTTGTGGCTCAGGAGTCTGGCTGATTCGGTGGTGCTGAAGGCCATGAAGTCGGCGGGTCAGGACGTTTAGGGTTTAGGGTTTAGGGTTTAGGGTTTAGGGTTTAGGGTTTAGGGTTTAGGGTTTAGGGTTTAGGGTTCTTTTAAGTACATGGGGAGGGGAACATGACCCCATGGTCCCGACCCGCTGATTCCCTGCGCAGGAGTACTCGAAGCAGTACAGAGATCGTGAGGCGAGGGTTCCTGCATTCTATCCATACAAAACCCTGAACCCTAAACCCTAAACCCTAAACCCTCAACCCCGTCAATGTGAGGTGAGGCAGCTGCCTGCTGATCCCGCTGTCGGCCGCCCAGACTTCTGCTTTTGGTGCGAGAGAGGGTTTAGGGTTTAGGGTTTAGGGTTTAGGGTTTAGGGTGAAGGGGGGCAAATCGGATGCTTGCAAGGATGCCGCCCGCAAGATGCTGACTTATGCAGCTTGGAACGGAGGGCATCGATTTATAGACTCATGTGGCGTGCGGCCCCTGTTTTCTTGGAGTGCTCCTGCCATCCCAAGGACGAGGTGAAAGCGTACAAGGCTCAGAAGAACGCGGATGAACTGACGAAGGGTCGCAATGCCTTCTGCGCCTTCAACGTCCTCGAAGCTTTTGTGCCCCTCTCAGAGTGCCACCTGTGACATGTGTAATCATATAAAGAAATAAATACATATATATATATATATGTATACACACATATATATATATATACACATGCGTATGCATATACATATGCGTATATATATATATAAATAAGAAACATAACTATATCAATATGATAATGTGAGAATATAGCAAAATACTTGCACAATAACAGAACATAAGACTGCAATAATTTAGGATGAGAAGAACATAGGAGAGTTTTTAAAACAAGCTACACCCCTGGCATGGCCCCTTTGAAGCAGTGGTAAGGTGTCAGCAGTTGGAATGGGAGACGACATCAACGCAATCATCAGGGTGTGCCCGCCGCCGCGCGACGGAGAGTCCGAGGCGCGGGAAACCTCCAGTAGAGAGTCGGCTGGCCAGAGAGTGCAGCTTGAAGTTTTGTTGCAGACAATGAGTGCAGTCCATGAGCTCTTGCTTTGCAAGCCTTCGGCCCAGTTGGCGTGCCAAGTGGATGGTGCTATCCTGGTAGCCTGGGTGGGGAACTTGGCCGCCAAGCTGTCTTTCGCCGCCTCGAACTGCGCGCTCACCATCTCGGTCAATGCCCTCTGCGGCGTAGGCCGGGAGCAGCCGTTGGGAGCCCTAAGTCGCAGCACGTGGCACTACCTAGCTAGCAATACATAGCAGCGTGTCCTAAGAACCGTCTAATTAGGTAGCTCTAAAACTTCTCAACACTTGTTCCGCGGTCTGGTGTCACACTTCGCGCATCATTGCAGGCGTCACTGGCCTTGTTGCTTGGCTGGCTTTGGACATTTCGTGGGGGTTCAATTCAGACAGCAAGATGCCTTGAACCATCTCCATCCATCTCCAGACTTCAGGCCTGAAACCTGAAACCCTAACTAGCCCCTCTACCTCCTCCCCAAGAAGTCCGAGCACAAGTGCCTCAACTCCCCATCCCCCTACCACCCTCTAAACAACCCAGATCTCCGTCATGGGAGAGCTGGCGGCCACAGCCTCCCTAGCAGCAGCCACCTGCACGCCCACACCGCCCAGTGACCCAGCACCATTTTGGGGATGTTTTGTTGTGGTGTGACGCGAGCTTGCTTTCTTCGGGTTGCTTTACATCGTTCCGACGACCGCCATGATGCACAAGTACGTTAGGTCAGTGCAAGTTGATTCCTGCTGCGGAGAATTCCACGGTTGAACGCTTAACGCAGCCGCAAGGTTTGAGGGGTCTGCAGAGTTGCCACGAGACTTTGTTAGCCATCTGATCGGCAGACTTGAGACCTCCCCCGTCTGTCACCCTCAGCAGCTGATTGCTTCAGGCCCTTGAGGAGGGATTGTTGGTATTGTTAGCCTTGTGTTGGGTTTTAAAAGGGCCTTAAACCCTAAACCCTAAACCCTAAACCCTAAACCCTAAACCCTAAACCCTAAACCCTAAACCCTAAACCCTAAACCCTAAACCCTAAACCCTAAACCCTAAACCCTAAACCCTAAACCCTAAACCCTAAACCCCAAACCCCAAACCCTACTTTTCAGAGGCTTTTAGGGGGCCCACCTGGTGAGGTTTGACCACAACGAAGATCAGCGTTCTTGGTGACCAGACCGTGCGGCAACGTCGACTGCTCATCGGCGAAGGGAAGATCGGCAACGGCGTCCAATGCATGGTGGCTTGGGCCCGGAGTAGGCCCCTCTGTTTCCTTCTTCAGGGCTTGTAATCCTCTTGCAACCTTATGGGTACCCTTATAATCCTCTTGAAACCTTACGGGTACCCTTATTTCCTCCTTTTTTTTTTGGGGGGGGGGGGGGAAAAGGGGGTTAGAATCCCCCTTTTCAACCAAAAAAAGGGGGACACCCGAGGTGGATGTGGGGATGGTCGCCAGCAACATCGCCAACATGGGCATCTCCATCTTTCAGGCGCCCCCCTTTCCTTTAGCCGGCCTAAGTTGGCCGAAGGCAACCCTAAACCCTAAACCCTAAACCCTAAACCCTAAACCCTAAACCTTAAACCCTAAACCCTAAACCCGAAACCCTAAACCCTAAACCCTCAACCCCAAAAGCCCCCCCCCCCCCCCCCCCGCTCCTGAGTTTCCGTGCGCGAGAGGAGCAATTTGCGAAGAGTGAAGCAACTTGCGCCCTCAAAACCCTAAACCCTAAACCCGAAACCCGAAACCCTAAACCCTAAACCCTAAACCCCTAAAAGAGGCGGTCAAGACGGGGAACTGCGGCCGGCTGGCTCTCGACTCTGCCTTCAACAAGCTGACCGGAGTCCCCGAGGCTTTGCCCTGGCAGGGCTCAGGGGGCTTAGTCTGCTCAGGGGGCTTAGGGGGCTTCAGGGGGCTTCAGGGGGCTTTAGGGGGCTTTAGGGGGCTTGAGGGGGCTTGAGGGGGCTTGAGGGGGCTTCGGGGGCTGCTTGTGACACCAAGTTCTCTACTTGAAGGCTCATGGGTACTTATAGGTGGGGTTAAATAGAAGTACTCGAAATATGGTCAGAGCCAGAGCTGCGCTGCTTGAGACACCACTTATAAGTGCCCATGCCTCCAAGTAAGGGACCAACAACAAAAGAAGCACCTAAACCCTAAACCCTAAACCCTAAACTAAACCCTAAACCCTAAACCCTAAACCCTAAACCCTAAACCCTAAACCCTAAACCCTAAACCCTAAACCCTAAACCCTAAACCCTAAACCCTAAACCCTAAACCCTAAACCCTAAACCTAACCCTAAACCCTAAACCCTAAACCCTAAACCCTAAACCCTAAACCCTAAACCCTAAACCCTCAACCCTCAACCCTCAACCCTCAACCCTCAACCCAACCCTCAACCCTCAAAACTCCCTAAACCCTAAACCCTAAGCCCTAAGCCCTAAGCCCTAAACCCTACACCCTGAACCCTAAACTCCAATTCTTGCCACCAGGCACTTTGCACCGTCGACATCGGCGGTGCGGTGGCCTACATCTCCCAGGCGGGATGCGATGATTTGTTGCAAGCTTCCATTGGAGCCTGCAAGCCCGCACTCCAAACCCAAACCTAAGCCCTAAAAGCTAAACCCTAAACCCTAAACCCTAAACCCGAAACCCGAAACCCTAAACCCTAAACCCTAAACCCTAAAACCTAAACCCTAAACCCTAAACCCTAAACCCTAAACCCTAAACCTAAACTAAACCCTAAACCCTAAACCCTAAACCCTAAACCCTAAACCCTAAACCCTAAACCTCTCTTTTACTATATATTTAAACCCTAATGACCCTAATTTTTTGTCCCTAAACCCTGACCCCTTCGTCGGCAAATGGTTTTTTTCCACCCGGGGGGGGCCCTAAACCCTGACCCCCTTCGTCGGCAAATGGTTTTTTTCCACCCGGGGGGGGGTCCCTAAACCCTGACCCCCTTCGTCGGCAAATGGTTTTTTTCCACCCGGGGGGGGGCCCTAAACCCTGACCCCCTTCGTTGGCAAATGGTTTTTTTCCACCCGGGGGGGGGTCCCTAAACCCCGACCCCCTTCGTCGGCAAATGGTTTTTTTCCACCCGGGGGGGGCCCTGAACCCTGACCCCCTTCGTCGGCAAATGGTTTTTTTTCCACCCGGGGGGGGGCCCCCTTCGTCGGCAAATGGTTTTTTTCCACCCGGGGGGGCCCTAAACCCTGACCCCCTTCGTCGGCAAATGTTTTTTTTCCACCCGGGGGGGCCCTAAACCCTGACCCCCTTCGTCGGCAAATGGTTTTTTTCCACCCGGGGGGGGCCCTAAACCCGGGCCCCCTTCGTCGGCAAATGGTTTTTTTCCACCCGGCCCTAAACCCTGACCCCCTTCGTCGGCAAATGGTTTTTTTCCACCCGGGGGCGGCCCTAAACCCCGACCCCCTTCGTCGGCAAATGGTTTTTTTCCACCCGGGGGGGGCCCTAAACCCTGACCCCCTTCGTCGGCAAATGGTTTTTTTCCACCCGGGTGGGTCCTAAACCCTGACCCCCTTCGTCGGCAAATGGTTTTTTTCCACCCGGGGGGGCCCCAAATCCTGACCCCCTTCGTCGGCAAATGGTTTTTTTCCACCCGGGGGGGGCCCTAAACCCTGACCCCCTTCGTCGGCAAATGGTTTTTTTCCACCCGGCGGGGTGCTAAACCCTGACCCCCTTCGTCGGCAAATGGTTTTTTTCCACCCGGGGGGGGCCCTAAACCCTGACCCCCTTCGTCGGCAAATGGTTTTTTTCCACCCGGGGGGGGCCCTAAACCCGGACCCCCTTCGTCGGCAAATGGTTTTTTTCCACCCGGGGGGGGGCCCTAAACCCTGACCCCCTTCGTCGGCAAATGGTTTTTTTCCACCCGGAAGGGTCCTAAACCCTGACCCCCTTCGTCGGCAAATGGTTTTTTTTCCACCCGGGGGGGCCCTAAACCTTGACCCCCTTCGTCGGCAAATGGTTTTTTCCTTTTTGGGGCATAGGGTTTAGGGCTCTTCGGGTTTGGGGCATAGGGTTTAGGGCCTCAGGGCCCGAGAGTTTCGGATTCAGTTCGGTGAAGAGTTTTTCAAGGTTTTTCAGAGTTTTTCAGTGTTTTTCAAGGTTTTTCAATGTTTTTCAGGATGTTTCAGGGTTTTTAACCCTCAATTCTGATGAAGGGCCGCCCCCGCGACCTTTTCACAGCATAGTTTTAGTGCAGGGGGGGTCGTATTTTTCAATTTTAAAGGCAAAATAGTCTTCTGAGACCCCCCCCCCTTGCCTCAAACTCCGACCCCTTGAGAGGGAAAGTTTGCCTCCAAAAACACCCCAAATGAGGGCCCAGGATCGGCCCGGGTCCCAGTTAAAAATGCGATTTTTTAGTACTGAAATCGACAGTTCTGGGTGGGCTCTCGTTTTCTGGATTTTTGACTAAAAGCGAGCCTTCACCGATAGGGGCTTCTAAACCGTAGGGTTTAGGGCCCTAAGAGCATAAAGGGCTTATTGTGGGCCTTAGATTAGATTTCGGGTTTTGGGTCCGTTAAAAATTAAAATATTTTGGACCAATTGTTTTTTGAGCTTTAAGCCTATCGGGGAAGTATTGAGTGAACTTTATATTTTCTCAATGTTATGGGTTTCTTGGTTGGGTGGGATTTTTTTTCCAACGCTTGACGAGCTGCTTGACTAGTGAATGCTCGGACTTTGAGATGCTGAACCCTAAGCCCTAAACCCTAAACCCTAACCCCTAAGCCCTAAACCCTAAGCCCCAAGCCCTAAGCCCTAAACCCTAAACCCTAAGCCCGCACTTCAAGCCTTCAATTGAGAGCCCTAGCCCGAGGTGGTCACCTTCATTAACCTGGTTGTCGTGCACTGCCAAGACTTCTTGGACGTGAGCGCCCTCTGTGGGGCAAGCATTGCAGGCATCACCACGTCAGCGGCTGCCATTGCCCCTTACGGCGCGGCAGTGCATGCGGCCTGTGCCAAGAACCTCCTTACCAAGAATGCCGCCCTTCAGGCGAAGATCAACAGCCTCTACACGGTGCCGCAGCCCCGGCGCCTGCAAGAATTGGAGGACACGGTTAGCAACCTTAAGTCGATCAGACAGAAGCTTGAGCAGCACTTGGGCATCAACGCCACCGCCTCTAGCACCGCAATCTCCCGGGCCGATTTGGAGAACATGGTCACGCTCATTGACGGCGGCGTCGACGCGGAGAAGACATCCATGCGAGGATCGTCTGAGTTCTTTGAGGAGTGTGAGGAGTGAGATCTAACCCCTCCAAGCTGCTCTCCTGTCATGGGTTCCCCTACTATACTAGGTTCCCCCCTATGATTTGAGGCTAGGTTCCCCCCCTATAGCTAAGGCTATTTAGGGGGTAGTAGGGAAGCCGATGATCTTGTTAAGAATCGATGGGGACGCTGCAAAGGCTCCGTCCCACATTTTGCGTTGATCGGACGCGGTGCAGCTTCAACGTTTAGGGCTTAGGGTTTAGGCTGCTATTGGTGGGTGCAAAAGTGTATGTATATATGAATCCTCCTACATGTCGGAGAGCGTATACGCGTGGTGTCTTTGGGGAGACTAGCAACAAAACCCTCCACCCCAAATCCCGCTCGTGTTACCAGGAGGCTTCATCCCAAAAGTCCAACACCGAAAACCCTAAACCCTAAACCCTCAACCCTAAATCCCGAGCCCACAACCCTAAACCCTAAACCCTAAACCCCAAGCCCCAAACCCTAAACCCTAAACCCCAAGCCCTAAACTTCTAAACCCTTCCCTAAACCCCTTGAGAGTATGATGGGCTGTGCGGGGTTCGGAGCTGCCCGCGCTGAGGCTGGGGCGCCGCTGGATGATTCTTTCGTGAGTTTAGGGTTTAGGGTTTAGGGTTTAGGGTTTAGGGTTTAGGGTTTAGGGTTTAGGGTTTAGGGTTTAGGGTTTAGGGTTTAGGGTTTAGGGTTTAGGGCTTGGGGTTCAGAATCTGCGGCTCGCCCTTGTCCTAATTCACAGGCTGATGCTCATCTTGCGAGAAATCAAAACCAAGATTTCTTTGTGACAGGCTGCGAAAAGACGCGTTACTTGTGAAGTAGGGCGAAAAAAGGGTCGGAAGACACGCACGACCGAGTGCAGAGTTCCGAAGTCGCACGACTTCGGAATATCCTGCGCCCTGAATGACCCTGGGTTCAGGGTTTAGGGTTTAGGGTTTAGGGTCTAGGAAGTAGCCCACGTCGAGGTTTTGTTTTCGAGAGTTTTTGGTCTCAAGCAGTGCGGAGAAGCATGGTAGTTGTTTCTTTTGTTTCTTGACTGGTTGCACCAGTTAAACTGTTAACGATCCCCTAAATGGCCCCACTTAAGCTTTAAGAATGCTCCGGACCTGAAGGCCTGCAACGGAGCTTATCAGGTTTTGGAGTACTATACTTGAATACCTTTTTGGTTCTGGGTTCCGATTATAGCTCCTCTATACATAAAAGCACATACTCTTTTCCTACTACAAAGGAGGGGCTTCGAGGAGCCACGACTCTCCCTAGATCCCCCCAATTAGGCCGCCGAATCCCCTGAAGCCAAGCCCGCAAAAACCATAAATGCCCGACCTAAACCCTAAACCCGAGACCCTAAGCCCTAAACCCTAAACCCTAAACCCTAAACCCTAAACCCCGAAACCCTAAACCCTGATGGTGCGGCCATGGCCATGGCAGTCGGCACACGGCTTCGGTTCCTCCTCAGGCCCACGAGAATTTGCCTGGAGGGTGCGAGTTTTCGGGCTTTGAGGCAACCCGGATGGGCTTGAAAGTACCCATTACTCAAGGGCCTAGGGTTTTGGGGGCCTAGAGCTTCTAAAGCTGAAATTGAGCCAGAGCATGTGGTTCTCTACTAGGTGGATCGGAACAACGAATACCCGTGCCCCTTTGGAGAAAGATCTGGAACGAGGCTTTGGGTCAAGTCAGCCTGTAGACCCTAAACCCTAAACCCTAAACCCTAAACCCTCAACCCTAAACCCTAAACCTTAGGTACACCCCCCAAAGCCCCAGTACGTTCTTCGGGCCTTCTTGATGTGGCCTATTGGCCTCGAAGCTCCCGCAAACAGGGGTTTAGGGTTTAGGGTTTAGGGTTTAGGGTTTAGGGTTTAGGGTCTGCTCAACTGGCCCGGCCACTGGTAGGAGCAACGCCGCGAAGTGCCTCAAGCGTGCTCGCCATTCTGCGGCACACGTTGCAGAGCCAGATGACCGGCGCGGCGGCGTGAGCCGCTTGTTTAAACTGCTAGGGGCCTGAGTTTTTCGGTTTGCTGGGAGGTTGGGTCGGTGAGACCAAGCTTGCGAAAACTCAGCGACGAGAGTCCAACATCCATCAAGATCTCCCCCCAACCCGCATTCCAGCAAAGAGCGATCACATGAGAGTTCCAGAGCAACCTCCCATCTGCATGAGCGGTTCTTGAGCTCAACACGCCGAGGCCGATCCAGAAATCTCGGGCTGCTGCCGCAACTGAACAGGTTTTGGGGGAGAACGGCTGTAGGCGTGGCTGCATTTCGATGTCCTCGACATTTGCTGATGGCAAAACGTGTGACCCGGTGCAGGGCAAGTTCGTGGGTGGACGAAACGTCCGCCAAGTTTGTCCACGCAAAGCCTCACGTCGGCTCCTTGCCATGAGCTGAATGCAGCTGAGGCTTCCGGGAACACTTTGTATGCAGTTGCCTTGTCTTTCATCTTGCAACTTGTTCCCGCTCCGCCCTCAGAAGTTGTGGCAAAGACAAGACTCCTTATTCTCCGCGCCTTCCCGCAGTTCCAGAAAGGAGCTAGGAGGGCAGCGCAGAGCCAGACTTCTCGCCCTCTGGCTCGGTCCCGCAAATGATGCACCTTGCAGCTGTAGGAGATTACCGCGTGCATGCAATGGCGTCATGTTTTCCGCCCCACGTTCGCCGATCACTGCCATCCTATGCCTGCCGCCGCGCCTCTATCCCAGCCAAGCACACGTGTGTTTTTGAAGGACGCGGTTGCTAGATTGCCATAGACTTGCGCCCTGCGCCGTCGCCTGCTCCACAACCAGGGCATGCCTTATGGATCTGCATGAACGAGCACCTGTTGGCCAGCATCGGGCAGTTTTTGGCTGTTCTTCATGTTCTTAGGTTTGGCTCGCGTCTCCTGTTGGAAATCTTGGTCTCCATGACAGACAGGGCTACTGTAGGGAGACCCCGGGACCTTCGAGACTCTGCTCATGCGCAGTGATGATGCCCGATTGGATGGCTCCGCATGCCAGGTCAGGGCCGTGTAGGCTGGCGTGGCTAGACCGATGATTCGCAGCTTCAATTGTCATCGGTGTTCAAAGGCTCTGAAGTTGTCACCATCTACGCGTGTCTGCAGTTCTAGGGATGTCTGTCTGGTGTCAAGAGAGCTCCAAGGAAGCGGCGACAAGCACTTGCTGTCGCTAGAGTCACTAGAAGATGTCGACACAGAGTTGGATAATGGCTGCCACATCCCTCCCGGCACCTCCCCCTGATGTGACCATCGAAAGTCTGCATACAGTCTTCCGGTATCTTCCGGATGACTTGTTAGGTACTTGCTTAAGGCTGAAGTTCGAGACTTCCAGATGTGTAGGTGGCCTTTTCATGTTCCGCGTGCTGCAAGAACTCCACCAGAGGCACCCTCGGCGTCCCAACCGTGCGTTGCAGTTCTCACAGATTCCTCATTCAGGCTTAGGGGGTTTAGGGTTTAGGGTCATGTTAGCTACTGCGAGCTTCCAGTCCGGACCTGCGCAAACAATTTCAGCTTTGCCCCTGGGATCCTTCATGCCATCCGCCCAACCATCTGCTTAAGGTTAACTCATATACATGTAGCGATTGCCCTGAGCTGTGCATGAGTAGCTTGGGAGCTTGTCATGTTCTTAGGTTTGCCTAGCGAAGTTGCTCGCACCGGCCTGAGTTCCAGAGCGGGGCCACCTCGGCGCCTGCCCTGGCAAGTGGTCTCTTTAAGTAGGACTTCTGTTTGATATAGGGCATATATTCGGGGTTCTTATTAGGGGTATCTAGGGGCTGTATTCAGGTATAAGGGTAACAGATAAAGAGGAGGCCACCGGCCTTCATAAGGCATGGGTGACTTCTGCGCCATTGCATGCAGCTGTCTTGAACTTGGGTGCCGCCAGGCACTGCCATGCATTGATGCAAACCGTGCGACATCCCATGCTACGGGGGTGGGCAGTATGGGATCTTGTTGTTACATCCGACCAAGCAAGATATACCCACCTCTGTGTATGAGCACACGATCCACATGCCCACGGGGAAAGATGGCTCGCTGCTGTCTGGCTGCTATTTGCTGCAATCTGCGCGCAACGAGCGGAGGATATCAGTAACATCGGCTGTGTGACACAAGCAGGCCAGCTCGTGTGGCGTTCTTGCGATGTGAGTACCTACATCGGGTTCACAACAGATCCGAAGAGACGGCTTCGTCAGCGCAATGGCGAAGCCAAGGGTGGTGCCTGCAAGTCCAGCGGACAGCGGAACGGTGGAACTTCCTTGGGTTGCATGCCTTGACTTTCAATTGCCCATCCAAACTGCCCTCAGACACTGATGCATGAATGGAAGCCGTGGAGGATGGTACTTTGCGCATCTTTGCGCGACCTGGCCGGGTTCACTTCGCTGGCTTCGATGGTTGGGCCCGGGTAGATGCAATTGAGTGTTGCAAGGTATGGGGTTTCCCCGACAAACTCTTGGCCCTCCGGTTTGGGTATGCCAGCCCGGTGCGGCTCTGGGAGGTTGCCTTGGAAGCCCCTAAACATCCCAGATCCCTAGTAAGCCTAAGCCCTAAGTCCCAAGTGTTCCAGGCAAACCTCAGTTTGTGCCGTTGTGCAGGCAGCATCCGTCGCGCTCTCGCCCTGTGAAGGAAAGGTCGCACATTTGGCATTGACCCCCCCCTTCGGTACCATTTTCATTCCACACTCTTGTGCTTTGAGGCGCTCAGAAGTGCTTCAAAGTGTCAGGGTTTAGGGTTTAGGGTTTAGGGTTTAGGGTTTAGGGTTACACAGTGCCAGGTTGGTGGCTGTAAATGCTGCCGGTTCCGTACTGCCCCTGAGTGGCGGCTATCCTCAGTCCCCTTCCGAAAAGCGGACTTTGTTTGGTGACCTTTGTATGATCGGTGTGCCGCAAGAACTCCAAAGTGTGGCTCACATCCTTTCCCAACTCCGTCTCCTCCTTCCATCCTGCCCGGCAGTTTCCACAGAAACCTGTGCGGGCTACCTGAGCGGGACCGCTGTGCATCGTGCGCTGGAGCCGACAAGCTGCAAC